ATTATTGTCCACTGCAACATGCAACGCAGTCCGTCCAAATGCATCAACCCCATTCACGTCAGCTCCATTCTTCAATAGTTCATTTGCAATGCCAAGGAACTTTAGCATCACAGCTAAAATGAGTGGTGTAATTATCGGGTTATTTGGGAAGACATTTGGATTGACCTAGAAGAATATCAATGTAGTTTGACTTACATTGTTTGTCAGCTGAATTCTCACAGAATCAATGTCATTTCGAGTGATAGCTTCATAAAGTGTTTGTTGCATCGCGGACATGGTCTGAGAAGCAAAGAGAATACTTGCCACTCAAATATGATCAAATTCATATTGATATTTTGAGAAAATACTTTAATCATTAATCAGTAGAGTGACGTCAACGATTGGTCAAGTCTATTAATTCGGTTATTAGTAACCAATAGATATTTGTGTGTTTGATGTAATATTGGTCAATTCCTTGTCCCAATGAGGCGTGAAATCGGACGAATGAATTTCGGACAAGTGTGGATAATTTGACTGAATACATCTCGAGCAGAATTTAATAAAGCTTCTCAAGTAGAGCGTGAATCAGCAAAATCGTATTTTTGTTGACAAACCTCCTATCAACCCTGAATTAAAACGAAAAATGTGAAACCCGACTCAATTTTTCAGAATATGATATTCACGATGTATTGTCAATACGTCTTCCAACACCTCCCTCATATCTATTAAGTATATAATTTCCCTAGCTCTTTTGAAATTCACAGGAGAAGAGGAAGGCTTTCTACGGACTATGGATACTTGATAGTGATTCTTTCACTACTGCTCCCAAGTGAGTTAACACAAAGAGAAATCAAACGAATGTGGAATCGAGTTTTCGCCATGTGAATGCATCGATCTGCATCTTATTTCAGCATTCTGCCATAATGGGAGGTAAATCGCTCTGTTGATGCACTTTATTGAATTCTCCAACATTCTCGAGCATTCCTCTCACATCAGCAATCTCATCATCGTCATCATCATCATCAGCATCGTCACCTTCACATACACTTCCAGCACAACATTTCTAGGAACTGACTAAGCAACGGGTGCATGATGCACAATGGGCAGCCCAACTCCACACACACTACTGAATCATTACCTACACGTCATCAGTTTATTTGGAAAGATGAGCGATCGTCGCCATTTCAATCAGTTCAAACTCTCGAGTGGTATTCGCTCGAGGGTAGTATTAGGCCATGGAGTAGAAGTAGTTGTAGCTGGCGGTAAATTGCGATGCCAATCGGGTGTCAACGCATTGGATGAAGGCCAAAGGTAGCAATAGTGGACTTTGAAATAACGCAAGGGTTCGTTTGAATTGATTGTAATAGCGGCGTTCTTCCATCTTTCCAAATAAACAACAACAAAAACATCTCATCTTGTCTTGGATAGAAACAGTAAATTAGCAGTGAAAATTGAAGATGGTCCCTACTTGGAACTTGTTGCAATCTCCACACGGATGCAGCTGATATCATAAGAAGAGTAAAGCCATGTCGGTTAAAACCGTTAACCGAGGCATTTTGAAATAGAAGAAGTGAAACCATGGCAACCTGTTCTTCAATAATGGCTATATCCAAAGGTGTAAAACGAGCTCTATCCAATCGTTGTGGCCATTATAGATGGCCAAGAAGAGTGCAACATTCATGTTCAATTTCTTCTTTTCTCTGTCTGTCTCTTGAAGGATATCAAAGCGGCCCTAAAATCATAACATTAAGTGGTAGACTTACGACGATGGCAGCAAAAGGAAGCGGTGGGAGTTCGGGTCCCTCCAAATATTTATAAACATTGCTCTCTGTGCAACTAAATAGCGAACCATGTGGATGTTATTTTTTTCCACAGCCAATGTAAGAGGAGTTACACCGTTGTTGTATTTTTCCAAATTGCAATTATGTGAAATAAGAACAGAGACGGAAGCCTCATCATTATTGTCCAATGCAACATGCAACGAAGTCCGTCCAAATTCATCAACCCCATTAACATCAGCCCCATTAATCAATAGTTCATTTAAGATATCATGGTTTCAATACTCATGATTTGGCGTCCAGGCACAATGAAATTAATTTTAAATGGCAGGCTTTCTGATATTTATCATTAGCCCTTAAACTTTGACTTAAGCTTGCTCCAATGGTGGGGGGGGGGGTACATCTATAGCAGTTAATTAATAGCAGTTCATTAGCTGTCTTCTTGCTTCCCAGAACTCCGGCTTTCCGTCGTTGCCTTTAGGGCTGGACATCGAATCAGGTGGGTCTTCTCCATTTCCTCCTGTAGGTTACATAGGGGCATGTGGGTTGAGTGTATACTCCCAATCTGTGAAGGTGTTTTGCCAAGCAATCGTGTCCGGTACGTAGTCTAAACTCAGCAAAGGCATCGATTCTTGGCCAGTCGGCTATGTCGGAGAGTGCCACTGTCCACTGTTTCTCTTTTGTTCGAGCTTCAAGTTCGTTGCACCTTGAGGTCTGGAATTCTGTTCTGATTAAGGCCTTCATTGTGTGGAAAGACNCTGACGAGAGCAATTTCTCTTATAGCCTTTTTTCAAGCTAATCATAATAAAGAGAAGTCAAATCAAATGCCGAGTGATAGACATTTTGCCGTACGAAGATACGTTGTCCTGGGTGCACCACGTGGAGGTAAGTCTATCGCGCACCCCACTTATTTGACTTAAGTATGCCGTGAGCCACTCATTACAGCCACAGAGGTGACTCTCAAACCACTCGAAAAGGCACACAACCAAGCATTACGACTAATTACTGAAGGGATAAAATCAACACCCATTGATGCAATGCTCCTAGATACAGGAAGCCCCACAATATGTTTCCTTATCAAAGAAAAAGCCTTGATCCTGTATGAGAAGCTACTGCGCATTCCCATGGATAAGTTCTTCAGCACCTATGGGAATAGACCAAGACATCTGAAAACGCAATCTGGTTTAATTCAGAAAGCCAGGGAACTGAAGAAAGAATTACAAATTGATGACAAACCAAAAAGCCTCTCTCTCCCCATGAACCCATTAGCAGACACTGATGTAGTGTGTTGCACCCAACTGCTCGACTTCTTCAGGATATCAAACACCCCTCCAGAAAAAATGCACTCACTGGCCCTTGACACAATCAATGCCAACTATCCTGGAGATCAATGGCTCCAAGTCTTCACTGATGGGTCATACAGAGAGAACCAAGCAAACGTTGGTGCAGGTGTCTATTCTGAACTCTTCTCTTTCTACGCTGCAGCGGGACACAAAATAGATCCGCTTTTGAAGTAGGAATAGAGGCCATTAGGATAGCACTATGCCAATTATGTTTCCTGGATACGAAATTCACCAAAGCGGTGATACTTTCGGACTCACAGTAGCAATAAACTCTATTGAAAACAGAGAGCCAACTAAAACAGCTGAGATAAAGGAATGTAGAAAACTCCATCAGCTGCTAAGAGAGAAAAACCAACAGTGGTCTTACAATAGATTCCTGGTCACTGTGGCACTAAAGGCAATGAGTTTGCTTACACACTTGCTAAGAAGGGGACAACGATTTTGCAATGCTTGGACCAGCCGACGTCTTTCCACACAATGAAGGCCTTAATCAGAAGAGAATTCCAGACCTTAAGGTGCAACGAAATTGAAGCTCGAACAAAAGAGAAACAGTGGACAGTGGCACTCTCCGACATAGCCGACTGGCCAAGAATCGATGCCTTTGCTGAGTTTAGACTACGTACCGGACACGATTGCTTGGCAAAACACCTTCACAGATTGGGAGTATACACTCAACCCACATGCCCCTATGTAACCTACAGGAGGAAATGGAGAAGACCCACCTGATTCGGTGTCCAGCCCTAAAGACAAGTACGGAAAGACAGAGATACTGGGAAGCAAGAAGACAGCTAATGAACTGCTATTAATTAACTGCTATAGATGTACCCCCCCCACCATTGGAGCAAGCTTAAGTCAAAGTTTAAGGGCTAATGATAAATAACACAAAGCCACCATTTGAAATAAATAAATAAATAAGTCAAATAAGTAATGAAAGTTCACATCACTCCATCATTATTCTACTTGTGGCTGAAGGGTGTTGAGTCCTTGGTGGGAGGGTGGAATTGTTGGCACGTGAATGTATTGGCCAGTGCATTTTGGTCTAATAAGTGTAGAGAACCACAGACACAAATGTAGGACTGGAAGATGACTGAGGTATATTTTATCTCCAAACGAGAAGGACTTGATATTAAGTGGAAGGAGCAATTACCAGCACTAATCTCCAGGTTCGAGAGATGGTAGTAGACCTTCGGGAAAAAACTATTTCTGTTTGATAGTAAAAACAACTTTCCTTACATCTCGCTTTAATTTATGGTGACATCAGATGGGGCATTTAGACTTCTTTACTCTTGACTGAGTGTACTTCTTGAATTGAAATTTTAAGCAGTGTGCCATATGAATGCCTATCCCACTTGAATCAATTTCCTACCTTCTCAACTATTCAATTCTTGTTGAGTTGAAAGGTCAACCTGAACAATCTTTTCATTGAAACGCCCTTCTACATCCTCTTTGGAGCTCACACCATGGGCAAGTCTTCGTTCGCGTTTAGTCACTTTGCAGAATCTTGACTAATCGCAACCGCCACATTGATGAAGTATTTCCATAATTTCAGTTCCACTACTTATTTCATTTATTTTATTTGCCTCGAAACCATTTGTGCGTGAGATCAAGTGGGCAAAATCTGCAACGAAGTGAGAAGTTAACTGGTAAAACTAGAGAAAATCAGATGTACGGTCATGGTTTTATTCGTGTTAATTAGATTTGATTGTGCCCTATTTGTGAAACGAAGAAACATATTGTGAAGCTGAAATCTCGGCAAATGCCAAATTTTAACCATAATTTGAACTCCATGTTTGTCAACAGTTTCCAAATCAGCATAATTAGCATGCAGGATTTTATGGTTTGAGTGTCGAGATACGCGTTGGACTTGACTCAACTAAATAAAACCTGAGCAACGTATAATCAAAAGCTAAAAGTCTATAAATCGGCACTCTTTCACTTTCGAACAGATCTACAGTGCTCATCTTACCCTCCTCTAAACCCCGCCACCCTCTACCCCCTCACTCCATTCCTCTCAACCTTTTGAGGCTTTGACGTTCCTCATCCATGTGAAGCTCAACGTCAACCAAATTGATGACGATAACTATAAATGTATAAGCAAATACAGATCGAGTGTTCAGAAACAGCCTATCGTTTTATTAAGATAAGGAAAACAACTTCTATCACGCTTCAAACATTGATGGCATGAACTCGTTTTTCCACGCTGAAATTATTTGGGCAATTTCTACCCTCCTCATATCCATTGCAACCTGTTCTCCTGTTGTTCTAAAGCCAGTTGCCAGCGCATCCGGGTCCGCCCCTTAACACAACGAGATGTCTTAGTGCAATAATTGTGCCATACCATAACAAAGTAGCTGTGCTGCTGCATAAGAGTTGTTAAAAATGATAGACGTCATAAGCGGAGTGAAGCCATGGTGGTTTGTATCGCTAACCGAGGCATTGCGAGAAAGAAGATATGAGACCATGTATTCATTTCTTCCAATAATGGCAAATTCCAAAGGGGTTAAACAATTCCCTTGCCTACGACTTATTGGAGCACCGTTATTAATTAAAAATATTGCTGCCTCGTTGTGGCCATCATTGATGGCCAAGCAGAGTGCAAAGTTCATGTTCATTTTCTTCTTTTCTCTATCTGTCTCTTCCACATTCACCAAGAATTGAAGGATATCCAAGCGGTTCTAAAATCATAACATTAATTGATGGACTTACGGCGGATGCAGCAAAAGGAAGCGGTGGGATTTCGGGTCCTTCCAAATATTTATAAACCACTGCTCCATTTGCAACTAAATAGCGAACCATGTGGATGTTATTTTTCTCCACAGCCAACGTAAGAGGAGTTACACCACCATTGTTATATTTTTCTAAATTGCAATTATGTGAAATAAGAATAGAGACGGAAGCCTCATCATTATTGTCCACTGCAGCATGCAACGCAGTCCGTCCAAATTCATCAACCCCATTCACATCAGCTCCATTCATCAATAATTCATTTGCGATGTCAAGGAACTTTAGCCCAACTGCTAAAATGAGTGGTGTAATTGTCGGATTATTGGGGAAGACATTTGGATTGACCTAGAAGAATATCAATGGAGTTTGACTTACATTGTTTGCCAGTTGAAATCTCACAGAATCAATGTCATTTCGAGTGATAGCTTCATAAAGTGTTTGCTGTGACTCGGCCATGACGTGAGAAGCCAAGAGAATACTTGTCACTCAAATGTGATCAAATTCACATCGATATTTTGAAATTGAACGAATGAATGTCTGACAAATTTAGATAATTTGACTGAATACATCTCGGTCAGAATTTAATAAAGCTCTTCAAATAGAGCTTGCATCGGAATTATCGAAATTTATTTGACTATGGTACGGTACTTGAACGGGTTCAGTGTTCAGAGAATTGTGTACTGTTGTCGACAAATCGCCTATCAACCCTGAATTAAAACGACAAATGTGAAAGCTGACCCAATTGTTCAGAATATGATATTCACGGTATATTATCAATACGCCTTCCAACACCTCTCTCATATCTATTTAGTATATAATTTCCCTATCTCTAAAGAAATTCGCAAAACCATATTGTCTATGAGCGTGGAAACACACCTAAATTTAACTAATTCTATGTGTCATAATATATTCTGAAAGCTATTGTGGGCCATTTTGTAATTTTGTTCGGCATATATCTAATGCAATTATACAAAAAATGTTTTTTAATAGTTATTACCAATAATTTGTTTCAATAAGATGACAACTTCTAAATCAGTGAATGGGTAAAGGAACCTAATAAGTTGTGAAACATTGCGAAAGTTCCCTTGCCAATAGTCGTCATTGAAATATTGATATTCACAAAACGAGATTGGCTTTAGTTATGATGTCTCAATATCCTATTTCCTGATTTTTACAACCGGATTCATGGTTGATATAATTTCCCAGATAGTGCTAATTTATTGACAGGTCTGTATATCATTAGCCACAGATCATATATAGCGTCTCAGCTCACTACAGTCCACTCAAGTTCAAATGGAAAATTGAAGATGTGAATAAGAAGGAATTAATGTTTTCCTTTTATTGTTGGAAGACAACTGCTGAATTTATTCAACATATCAGGAGGTGGCCCTATTTTCTGAGTTATATGGAGTCCGCAATGTCAAGTAATGATTGGTCAGTTTGCTTAATTAATTAGTGAAATATCCGATTCGGGCACGTCTCATTAAGTCCTTTACGCTCGTTTATTTTAAATGGCAGGCTTTATGATATTTATCATTAGCCCTTAAACTTTGACTTCAGATTCTTCCACGGGTGGGGGGTACATTTATAGCAGTTAATTAATAGCAGTTCATTAGCTGTCTTCTTGCTTCCCAGTATCTTTAGCTTTCCGTCATTGTCTTTTGAGCTGGAAATCGATTCAGGTGGGTCTTCTCCGTTTCCTCCTGTAGGTTGCATAGGGGGCATGTGGGTTGGGTGTATACTCCTAATCTGTGAAGGTGTTTTGTAAAGCAATCGTGTCCGGTGCGTAGTTTAAACTCAGCAACGGTTTGGTTTTCTGGCCAGTCGGCTATGTTGGAGAGTACCACTGTCCACTGTTTCTCTTTTGTTCGAACTTTAAGTTCATGGCACCTTAAGGTCTGGAATTCTCTTCTGATTAAGGCCTTCATTGTGTTGGGTGCAACACACTACACACTACTGCTAATGTGTTCATAGGTAACGAGAGGATTTTTGGTTTGCATCGTTGTGTAATGCTTTCTTCAGTTATATAGCTTTTTGTGTTAGAACAGATTGCGTTTTCAGATGTCTTGGTCTATTCTCATAGGTGCAGCTTGCGTTTTCAGATGTCTTGGTCTATTCTCATAGGTGCTGGAAGAACTTATCCATGGGAATGCGCAGTAGATTCTCATACGTTATCCATGGGAATGCGCAGTAGCTTCTCAGACAGGATCAGTCCATAGGAATGCGCAGTAGCATCTCATACAGGATCAAGTCCTTTTCTTTGATAAGGGAAGATTTTGTAGGGCTTCCGGTAACTAAGAGCATTGCATCTATAGCTGTTGATATTATCCCTAAAGTAATTAGTCGTAATGCTTGGTTGTGTGCCTTCTCTAGGGGTTTGAGAGTCACCTCTGTGGCTATAATGAGTGGCTTTGCGTGCGTTAGACTTACCTCCACGTGGTGCACCCTGGGAAGCGTATACTTATGTGGCAAAAATTCTATTAACTGGCAGGTGACTTCCGACTTCTAACAACCATGACCCCACTGCATTTCATATTCGACTAATTCCACAATACTCATCTTACCTTACCTTTTCTCTACCTTTGTGTCTGTCTGTCTATCTCTTTTACACCTGTGAAACATTGTTCTGTCCCCATCTCAACGTTTTGCCACTTTGATGTTCATCTTCCTTTCTGTGAAGCCCAAGGTCAACTATAGGGCTCATGATACCTATCATTACGCCTGCCATTTGAAACAAATAAATATAACTTTATTGACTGAATAAACATCTTGCAAGTGGTGTTGAGAGTTGAGCGTGCAAAGTCCCATACACTACCAGCAAGACGCTTCAGTACATTCCATCTATTGGAGACTCGTTCTGCTATTTTATTAATGTGACTTTTCCACGTTAGCTTTGTGTTAAACGACATTTCAAGATAGGTGAACTCATTGGTTCTTTCTGGGGTAGTATCCTTGTACCTTAGAAGCGTGTTTATGCTGTGACGGGGCAAAGAAAATGTTTGGAATGCAGTTTTCGCGGTTTTGATTACCATTCCATTGTTGTCGCACCAGTTTGCTAGTAGTTTAAGTGCACACCTAAGAGCACTTTCTGTCCTCTCCTTAGCGTTTTTCTTAGTTTGGGGGCTTTCTGTCCTCTTCTGAGCGTTTTTCCTAGGGGCGGAATCAAGTTTGCTAGTAGTTTAAGTGCACAATTTAGGGCACTTTCTGTCCTCTACTGAAAGTTTTTCTTAGGAGCGGAATAACATAGAATAAGATCATCTGAATAGAGTAAGCACTTGATGTCCGTGACTGTCTGTACCAATTTGGCTATGTCATTGATGAAGACATTGAAAAGAGTGCAGCTTGTGACAGCTCCCTGTGGAAGGCCTGTTTGTAAAAGATTGGATTTTGATAGAGCATTGCCATATCTGACTTTACATGATCTTTGTCCAATGAATGATCTTATCCAATTTAGCATGTTATGCTTAATACCAATCTTTG